TCACTTTCTCTGGAAGTTTGTTCTGCATCCCCTAGCTAGAGTACGCTTTATGTCCTTCATCACTTACCCTGGTACCTCTCTACCTGTGAGAGTCCTCTCCTGCTTCACCAAGTAGAAAACCAAAGCACAAAAAGTCAAGTCATCCCTAAGTAAACCTGACCCTACCTCTGAGAGTTACACAAGTGTAAGTCAGGACTTGCTGGACTGAAGTCAGCTCAGTTCTGCTGATGGAAAACAGGCATATGAGGAACGTCTCAGCCCCCAGCGCTGACTAGTGCCAGGAAAGGAATAATTAAACCAAATTTGGCCCTAAGAATTGCTCCCCATCTCCCAGCCAAGCTGAGCTCCAGCCTGGCTTAGGATATTATTTCCTACCCACTTCCACAAGTGCTTTCTCCCCCCCACACCTCCTGCCACATCCTCTGTGTTTCAGGACAGAGGCATTTTCTGCTAGATCCACTTGGATATAAACAGCACAAAGGAAGCAATAAGGAAACTCCTCCCCATCCCTTGCTCTAACCACTTCAGACATGCTGCCAGCTTGCTGCAGGGTACAAATTATCACAAACTCGGGGAGCTCCCTTACCTGGAGAATCTTCAGCTCTGGTGCATCAGCGGCTGTCAGGGAGCAGATGCCCATTTCAATGCAACAGCAATGCTGCAAATTACAACTGCTCCAGCGTGCCTGTCCATGTGGTTGCTTTCGGTCTCCTCTTTACAAGTCAGGTAGGCTGGTTATCTATTAAATAGGGAAAGAGCATGCACACAAGAGAGAGGGTGAACACACAGAGGAAATCAGGCAGTTTCCTGTTTGTTTATCATGAACAAAAGCTTGTTTGGCTGGTCTGGATGTTGCTAGCAGGCTGGCCCAGCTGCTGCAGGTGGTGCAGAGCTGAGCTCTTCCACTAGCATGAAAGGAAGGAGAAGTAAGGCAAAGTCTCTCAGGAAGAAAAAACCAAAACCAGACCCAAACCTCTGGTGGTTTGCAGCCAAGGCAGAGTGGTGGGCAGGGAGATTTCACCTTGGCTTGTAGGGCTCTGATGTGTGAAGGTGGCAACCAACTGCTGCTCTTTGGTCTCAAGTGGGAGATGCGTTCTGGCAGCAGAGGGGGCTGCAGTCGCCCTCGTAGCAGGGCCCTTTAGTGGCCCCAGCAGGTCTTATGTTGCCTATTACCAGCAGAGTTTGCCCAAAACCTGGTCCCTGTAGTTTAGTTTTTGGGCTGTATTCAGAGAAATGCAAGTGATGAGTCCATGCTGCCATTACTCTAATTGCTCTGGGGCCACAAAACTACAGGGCTTCAGATTAAAAAACTGCCAAGCTTTTACCAACAGGGTAACTGTTACTGGGCCCTCCAGTATGAATTCATCATACTAACCGTCTGGACCCAAAGACTCAATGCTGTTTTCTAGTGTCAAGCTAAACCAGCCTGCACCTCTGAAGTCATGCCTAGCCATTTCTGTTGTTCCTGTCCTAGTGATAAACTAGGGACCGCCTTTGGTGGGTGGGAAAGGGATAGGAGGAATGTTCAAAGGGCTGCAAGGAGACTGGCTGCAAAGCCAAGCCGCCCTGGGACCAGGGTTAGAAAGGAGACAGGCATTTGCACCTTTCAGTGTGCTACCTCAGGCTAGAGGAGTTAAAACCTGGAGCTGGGACCAGAGGTGCTCAACACAGAGTGAAATGGGCATCAGAGGTTTACCAGGACAGCCTGGCACAGGGACTAAACCCTCGTACCCGCCTGCCCAAGAGGTACTGCCTTTCAGACAGCTCTCGTGCCAGCTTGTGCTTTTTCTTCCTCACCCGGAGACCGTGCTATTGTGTTTGCCCTTGTCCACGTCCACTGCTTGCATCCTCTGCCCAGGGCAGGGTGACCTCCCGGCTCACCTGTCCCCACGGGAGGCTGAGGGACACCCTTTGGTCCCCTCTATCCTCCCCGTGCAGAGAGCAGAATTGCTGCTGCCATCTGGTGGGAGAGCTGCCTGGCTGCCAGCCTCCGCCGCTCCTCCGTTTGTATTCATCTTGCCTCTGAAAAAGGTGACCTCTTTGCAAGCATCCTTCCTGGCTAACGCGGTCTGTCACGGTTAGCAGCAAAGCTACAGCCTCCATCACTCACCTGCAAAACGCCCCCGGCCCCAAGACTTTGGTGCTAAGTGTAACGATTTGTTGGAAAATGGAAAGATCCAGGAGTACCTGGTGTTGTGCTGGTGTGAGTCAGCTCTGGGGAGGGAGGGCCTGACAGAAGGGCATTTATTTCTGACTAGTGAACACCCAGGCAGAGGTCTGGGGCAGAGCCTTTCTCTCAGTAAATTTTTGGGCCACTTTAGCTGGGTTGCTTAAGGAAGTGCATGCTTTCTCCAGCCCGGTAACACATCCAACCTTGCTGGGGAAGCACTGGCTTTATGCAATCATGCTGTCTTTCCTCTGGAGAAAACCAATTTCAAACTAATTTGATGGGGGATTAAAAGTTGTCAAATATACTAAATTCAAAGTGTTTTGTGCAAATAGGTGGCAAAAATGAAGAAAAACTGACCACAGAAAGCATTCCCCCCCCCAGATCAAAAGTTTTAGCATGGCTGCAGTCCCTAATAAGCAGCAGAAAGCCCACACAATGCAGAACTGGTGTAACTGCCCAATGCAGGAAATTCTTCAATCAGACTTGTGCCATTCATTTCAGACAGTGGGAATCCAGGCGTGACAGCCAGACCACGGCCCCCCCTTGGCTTTTCTGTTCACAGAAACAAACCTGAAGTTTCTTCACCTCCCTTCAAGCGGCGTCATCCAGCTGCTTCCCACCCATGATCACGGCTTACCTTGGGCTGAAGTGTCCTACCCAAAAGACGTGGCGGTCATGGAGTACTATGTCAAACACAGCGGTTGCTCCTCCAGGTCACAAGGCAGCCCCTCTCTTGCTCTCTCTTAAGGATGAGGTGAAAGGGGAAGATCTGTTTCTGGAGCATCTCCAGCACCTTCGTACACATGGGAGTTGCAAAGAGCAGGCATCCCTTGCAATAGCTCTGCCCTGCAGCTGGGAGCCAGCCCCCCTTAGGCCCGCAGAGCAGCAGGTGACAGTTGCAGGACGCCAGGCTGATCGAATGATTTATGCAGGCTCTCTGGGAGGGCAGACCAGGACCTGCACAACAAAACTCCTCTCTCTGGCCTCAGTACAAAGCTACATGCCTTGACCCTCGCTCTTGTTTCTCCACCCAAGGTTGCGCTCCACTTTCACGAGCAAGTTTTTGTTACTGGATTATTAAGAGCAACAAGGTTAGAAATGCCAAACAGAGAGGGTGGGTCGCCTTGTTTGTTCGAGCAGCGAGGGCGGCCTGCCTTCATGTTACCCAAGCCCAAAGCTCTTTCTATTGCCCTGACAAGTAGAACACTGAGAGGGAGTGCTCACACCCTGCTAACACCTCCCGAACGCTGCGAGGGAAGGGCCAGCGTCCTGGGAAGCAGAGTTCAGCCTTTGACTGTCTTCAGTCCAGCCTTGGCCAGGAATGCCAGACAGGTCAGCCCTTGACTACACTATCTCGACTTTTTGTTTTGTTTTTAGGTCAAGGAGCCTACCAGCACCTGAGCAGTGTGGCAGAGGATGCCAGGCAGTGCTCACACGCTGCTGCACAGCTCTCAGAGCAGCATCCCTCCAGCAGGCGGAAGGCTGTTTCCTCACCCAGTATCCCTGTGCAGCCCACACAAAACCATGTCCTGATTTTAGGGTCACTGTTCCCATCTGGAACCAGATAGCTCGATGGTCCACATCATCTACAAGGCTGAAGGGCAGCTATAAACACAATATAAACAAGGGGTTCACCTAGCCCACACCGAGACAGCTACAGGTTCAAGAGGAGCTTTGAAGTCTGATGAGTTCATGGCAGCTTTAGGCATTAAGTGAGGCAGAGCGAGGGTAAAGGAGCAGTTAACAGCTAGGGAACATTTACAAAACGAATTACACCCAAAAGCAAAGGAAATGGTGATTAATCAAACGCGGGGGCCACCATTAGAGCCTCAGACACCTCCTCCAGAGAGGCTAACAGCAAAAGCAGCAGGGAACAGTCCACACTCCACTGAAAATGCAGAACTGGAGGAGAAGTAATGCAGAGCCACAGAAGCTGAGAAGGGATTTCAGACACACTGTTTTGAGCCCAACACCTGGTGCATGAAACTAAGGGAGAGAAATGCAGGAAACACTAAAGGGGCTTTAAAAGGAGCCTTGGGAAAAAAGTGGAAGCTTCCTCACAAGTGTCTGAAGCGGTAAACCAGAAGAATAAAGAACAAGAGCACTGGAGAGGGAAGAGGTCTGGAAGTTATTTGGGAGTTATGGACCCGACTGCTCGGCTGCTTAAAATATTTTGCAAGCTCAGGCACCTCATCACTGCAAGAGCATACCCTGGCAATGCAGAAAAAAAGCAGGCAAGTCTTTCCATTTCGCCAGAGGCGAGGGCAACAACCCAAAGCGGCTGTACGATGACGAAATGAGCCCACCATTCACAGAAGCTTTCCCGAGGGCTCAACACCCTCAGGGTAGCCATGACACCCACCTAAGACCGTATTGTTCAGGGATAACAGACATCGTACGAACACCCTATTTGCAGGATAGGGTAATGGTGTGCCAGGCTAGTACCATGCCTTCTGACAGCCGCTGACAGGTTTGAAGTTCACTGTACCTGGTACAATACACCCCCATTCTTTCCAACAGCATTGTGTTGCATCAAAAGAGCACCCTGGAAAATGTATGTACATGCAGTAAACGACAGCCTGAACTGTGCATGGAAAGCAATTAAAAGCCCTCACAATAACCTCAAGATACTCTCAGCCTTACCTTGTTGCAGGAATTCAGCCTAAGAATCATATTTCAAGCTTTTAAGTTGTCAGGAGCAAGACTTACTTGCCTGTGCTAAGTGACTTTTATCCAAATAATCTAGCACAAGCATGAGGTGTCTTGCTCCGCTGACCCAACCTTCATTCTTCTGAGGTATTAAAAAAAAACCACAAACCCCACACTACTACGCTTGGGACCATGACATTTATTGAAGGCTGGTTATACAATCTCACCCATCACATCCTCCTCACAATTCAGTTTCCCTAAATAAAAAGAGCATTGATGTAACAGAGAATTCTGCCCACCTCCGACTGCCTGAGCCACGGAGCACCGAGTCATCCCCTCTTTGTCCCAGGTGCCATCTGGAATAGGCCAACTGCCACTTTTACTGATGTTGGTGAAAGAACCAACGCTGCACAACAGGGCAAGCGGCAGCAAGCAGATCAGTGTGCAGCGGTGGGGGGAGAAGTGGAGATGCCCCATTCCCGGCATGTACGTGAGAAGTATTTCCTGCAGAGGAAGTATCTTCTCCATGCCTGAAATCCATCTACTATGTAAAGTGAATCTCTGCTATTCTCACCCCCAGCCACAATCCACTCGATCTGTGCCTCCAGCTATCGGTGCTATGGTTCACACAGGCACAGCAGAGCCACTGTCCTAACAGCTGAGATGTCCTCTTTCTCTCAGCTGACACCTGAAAAAAGACTGGCTTGACTGAAGAGTGAGCCCTGAGCGTCCCTGTTCCATAGTCCAGGACCTGCAAGTCTGTAACGACCCTGGCTCAGTCAGCCTAAAGGCACTGAAGCATCGCTGTGGAACCGGATTGATACAGCACTCTTGTGGTCAGGGAGTCACCTGGGCTACCTGTTCGTCCCAGGAGTGAACAGATGAAAACTCTGCTCCTGTTGCTCAAACTGCCTGGAAAGGGGCAATTCTCAAACCTAGCTTAATGGTCAGTGGAGCCACTGCTCTGACCGTACATGGGAGGAATGCAGGTTTGTTGTCAAGAGCGTTCAGTTTTATTTGATTAAGAATTCAAAATGGGTTGAATTTTAATTTCCTCTGCTTTTACCAATGAGGAAATTGCAAAGATTCTTTTGGAAAGGGATGATCTGGTAGGTAGAGGTGACCAGGCCAGCTATGGCTGCAGAGCCAGGTTCACTGCGGCAGCTGGAGGAGCACAGACTGTCCAGAGGGCAGATAGGTGATGTTGCGGGACCGTGAGAGCTGGTACGCGATGTCTTCAGCTGCCTCCAGCTTGCGCAGCTCAATCAAGCCATCACCTGCAGTGGCCAGCGAGTTGGCAATCAGCTCAGCTGCTTTCGAGTCTCCCTCAGCAGAGATGACAGCTGCTTTCTTCTGCTGTTCAGCCTGAAAGTAAACATGAGAAGGGGAATAACCAACAGAGAAAACAAGAGCAAAAGAGAAGGAAGATGCTATTGTCATGTTTAAAATATAAATTCCCACTTCACCACCCTACTGTTCTTTTCCCCAGTAGGAGAGCTAAGGTAGAAGGTGATTTTATTTTAAAGCTGCATACTGTTAGACTGTTTTTCTGCCTACTGTGGAAGAAAGGTGGAAAAATCATCTTGACATTGCCTTATCAGTCAACCTCATGAAACATTAACCCACCTAAGGACGCTCCTCGTGGAAAATTGTCTATGAAAGATTCGAGAACTTCAGTGGAGTTAAAACCAGGTCGGATAAACACTTCTGCTGTTTAATCATCCTGGATGATTACATGCATCTTACTGCACCCACTGGATTAATTTTGGGTGTAGTTGCAGGTTCTTGCAATCTCAACAGGCATGTGTTCTCAGCTGTACTGGGGTACTTTAACACAAAATTGTTTCTGTGGATGCTCACTGAGATCCTGGGTTGATCCGAGATTATGTGGTCTTGTATGCAGTCAGTAACACTCCTAGGACACAGACCTCCATGCCCATGATCTCAAACACCATGGCAAGCTTCGACCACCCTCTCAAAATTCACAGACAGCAGGACCACTTGGGTTGCAAATCTCAACCTCGAGCCCCATTTCTAACTGACACTTCCTCCTGAGTGCTGTTTCCTCCCTCCTCCTCCATGCAGACGCTTCTGTTCAGCACTCCAGTAAGACTGTGACATGGTATTAAAAGAAAAAAAGACCCACAAAACCAACCTTAGGCTTTACCTACCCAACAATCATATGCCAGAGCTGAGAACCATGTCAGCATTATGACTCTAAGTGACTTCATCATTCAACCCGCCCCGTCTCGTGGACAGGTGAGTGAGATGTTCACTGCAAGCTAGAGTGGGAAGGAGATACCAGAAACCATTTCCAAGTTTCTCAGAAAGACAAGGTACCTTTTCCACAATGAATCTGGCTCTCTCTGCTTCTTGCTGGGCCACTTGCTTCATTTCGACCGCCTCTGTGAACTCCTTGCCAAAGGTCAGGTGGGTCTGCAGGGCAGAAATCAAGCAAAGTCCACAACGCTGACAGTTTACAGCAGCACTGCTGTGACCCACGCAGCTCCCGGGGAGGGAGGCAGCCTGCCTGTATCAGTGAAACTGGAATGGAGATGGAAAGCCAATATCCCTAAAAGAACAGAAACTGGGACAAGTGGGCCTCCCTGTCCAGTTTTGAAGTCTCAAGGGAGACACCACAAGCGCAACTCCAGTCCAGCAGACCAGTAACACCAGTACCTTCAGAGACACACCACGCTCCCCGGCCACCACCGCTTGCTCGAGCACCCGGCAGAGGCAGCCCGCCCCCCCAGCACTCCCCTCCCGAGGCAGGGAAGCTCACTGCCTGCCAAGCCATCCCACACCTTTCATACTCCGTTATGCACCGGTGTGCTCGGCCTGGGCTGCTTGGACAGCTGCAGGCTCCTGGGATGGGACAGGGGAAAGGTGAATTTCCTTCAGTAGTGTGCTCAGTGGAAAGCGCCAGAAACAGAGAGTCAAAAACTCACATTTTGCAGAAACAAAGTCACCTTCCTGCAAAGACTTCCTATATGTTCAAAGCCAAATGAAAGAGCTCGTTTCCCTTTCCTCTAAGGAGGCTTTTGAGGGAAGTCCCGAAAGAGAGAGGGAGAGGTGCACGTACAAGCCAGACTACAAGAGATTTCATTTACAAAGCTTATAGGGAGGTAGGAGGGAAGAGCTCCCTCCTTGAATAGTCTTAGAAGACTACACAGCCAGGAGAATAACTAATACTTCATAGAAAAAAAGAAGCTATGGAAAGCGTACATTTGCCCTACCTCGTCATGCCTAAGCACTTTCTCCCCGTGTCTTGGGGTGCTTGTGGAACAGCTGCCTTCTCTAAAGCAACGTGCAGCCTTATCCATCATCACCCACAGAAGCATTTGCTCTTCATTTTAACGATAAAAGCCCTGCAACAGTGAAGCCTGTCGATAAGCCAGTGCAGCGGAGCCTTCAAGGGCTTACTCAAGGTCACCGAAGGCCAGCGACAAAACCAGAGGTACTGACTTGAGCTGTAATCACTACATCCCATGCAACTGCAGACAGACAAACGTAGTCCACATGTCTAAACTTCCAGCCCACCCTTCTCTGGCCATCCACGGATTCTCCACTGCTTTTATTTGGGCACGCTCCAAAGAGTTCTCCTCTTCACTGCTTTTATTTGGGCACGCTCCAAAGAGAAGAACTGAAAAAGGGAGGACTCTTACCAAGGACACATCATCCAGAATGAGCCCGAAGGTCGCCGCTCTCTCCGTGAGGTCTTCGCTCACTTGCCTTGAGACCAGCTCTCTCTGAGTGATCAGTTCTCCAGCATCAAAGCGAGCCTGAAATCAGGAGGGACAACAGTGAGAAGAAAGCTCCAAGAAGTGATAGATTCTGCATCTAAGAGAAGCTTTATTCTGGAGTGCGACATATTCCACACTCCAGCAGGTCCCTCGTCTAAGAGAAGCTTTATTCTGGAGCGTGACATATTCCACACTCCAGCAGGTCCCTCGCTGCTAAAAAGAGGAAAGAAAGATGACTGGCAGAGCCCAGCAGCTCTCACGCTGTCCTTACCACAACAGACTTGAGGATTTCGGTTGTGATTGAGGGCAGGACACGCTCATCGTAGTCCTCTCCAATACTGGTAAAAATCCGCGGTAGCTGGGCAGTCACCGGTCTAAACAGGATGCGCAACGTGATGTTCACGTTCTGTAGATCTGTAGGAAGAGAGTCACGAGTTCAGTGGCAAACCACAGGGACAGGAGATACCCTGAAGTTGTCCTCTCCAGGGTAACTGAGTGAGAAAGAATAAACATTCAGACTTTTTCGCCAGCAAAGACGAGTTATTTTTACTACCCCTTTCACCTTGGGATCCAAATCCTCCTTACAGATAAGATTTAAGCTTCAGTTTGTTTGCGATGCAGGGAATTACTCGCCCTACTGTAAAGACAGAGACTTTATGTTTAAAGGGACGACTTACAGGACTGAAGGAAGGGTCCCTTAATCCGTTCCGTAACTAAAAAGACGGATCAAACCATTCCTGACCCTGTGCCAAACTGGACTCAGCACACGTGGGATCTCCATGTCCAGAAGGGGAAACTCCCACCCAAATATTCATTTTGTGGAAGTTAAAGATCATAAAAGTCTTGACGGCGGTAAAGCTTTTTCTCCTGTCCACCCAGCTGCTAACTGAGCAGCATCCGCATAAGCCACGGCACATCATCGCCTGGTTCTCTTACAGTCGCCGGGTCCAAACACTCACCTTTGCTGCCGGTGATCACAGGAATGTTACGGGGGCGAGAGCGGCAGTCAAAAATGATGGGTTTCTGTACCCAGGGGATGAGGAAGTGGGTACCTTCTCCTACCACTGTGTCCTGGACCCCGCGGAATCGGTCAAAGATGACAGCTCTGTGGCCCGCATCAACTAGAGAAGAAAACAGCGCGTCAGGCGCGGTTTCGCTATTGCCACTGTTGTACCTGCGCACCGTCAAAGCCTTCTCCATGGAAACGCTCTGTCGGGGCCAGTTAAAGCCTTTTGCTACAGGAGACGGGTGAAATTAATTGGGTTGTTGGGAGCAACAAAGCAAAGAGAAGATGCAGCCAGGACTCCTGCGCCCCCCCAGCCTGCTCACAAGGGCAGCAGCTGATCGACAGCTTTCTAGAGAAAGGACCTTGCAATCCTCTTGCTTGTGCAATGCACGAGGTGTAAAACGGCCCAGCAGGGCTTCACGTCTATTTTCCCCTGATGCCGTTAGCAATAAAAAACACAGAGCAGCCAAGGCGCTGACAAACCAAAAAGAGATAAAGTGAACTGGGAGCGCTCGGCTTCTCCCACTCACCATTGTAAAGTGCAGAATTGACAACTCCACCTACGACTGCCAGCCCCAGGCCAAGCTTCCCAAGGCCTTCAAACACCTTCGCAGCCATTTCGCACGTCCAGCTCCAGCCCCTTTAAGAAGTCCCTCCTGCGAAAAAACACGAGCTTGTTAAAACCGTACCAAGCAAGAAGGCCAGGGGGTCCTGCCTGCAGGTACCTACGGAGCCGGGGATTAACCCCCCCTCCAAAAAACCCAACCTGCAGTGGCGGTGTTCCCCCCAGCAACTCTTTCCCTGCCCCTCAACAGC